GAGAGAGAGAGAGAGAGAGAGAGAGAGAGAGAGAGAGAGAGAGAGAGAGAGAGAGGAGGGCAGAGGGAGAAGGAATATGTTGGTGTTGATGGGTACTTTCTGGCTGAATGCCGTCGCGGATGGCAGAAAGGCAGGGACAGGGGCACGGTTTGTACTACAAGTCTGTGAATGCCGACTTACAGTCGGCGTCTATTAGTTTAGTTGTATTGTTTGATACGACACGTCGACAATGTTTGCCACACTTACTTTAGCTGCTAACTTGTTATGTTTTGACTATTGTGTATATTCCAATATTGTACTTGCGCATTTGGTTTGGATGAAGAACCCACCCAAACGACGTATTTTACCTGCACTATCCGACACGACAGGGTGTACTAGTATATACAACACATACTGTCGGTCGAGTATCCGTACTATTCGCGTATACGACACATTCGATGCGTACGTATGCTCGTGCAACGTACCATCCTGGCAGTGTGCCAATAGCAAGGTCCAGCATTCTTCTTGCCGGCATGATTGTTATTGATGTTCCAAATAAAGTGTAGATAGTCAGGGTGATTTTCAAATTTTGTAATAAATTGTGATTTTCAAATTTTGTAATAAATTAATAATCTTGTAAGTTGTAATACTTTTGTATGTCAAAGTTTCACAACTGTTTTACAAGTTGTCTGCATCTTTCCCGGTTTTGAGTCCAGATCCGTTCGCGCTGGCGTACTTGTCAGGACGCGCGGATTAAGGAGGAGAGGCGGCACTAAGAAAGGAACAAGTCTGAAGAATAAAGAGGAAGTGCCTTGAATGACTATATGATGACGTCCTAAATAAATTTGGATTTTCGTCGGCTAAACGTTTTGTGAGTGTTCCGTTGGACACGACGTGCGTAGTTTCGGTGTGTGTGAGGGGCGTACTCACACTTCCTGTATCTCATATGTATGTGACCGCATTTACAGCCAGACCTGGATGTATGCAACCGCAATTACGTCCAGAAACAAGAAAAAAAAATGTCGCAGTGTGAGAATGCCCTGAGTGCGTCCTTGTCTTTGGAAATAGCTGGCATTCTAAGAGGAGACCGTCGTGTGACCGTGTGACACATTCTTCGGCGAGAAGTACAGAGGGCCGCGCCTGAATCTAGAAGCTTCGCGGAACGGCATAGGGATATACGTCTCGCTGCTTCAGTGTGGCATTCCATCAGCAAGATCATTGTAAACAGTCAGGTAGATAGCCACAGATAGCCGGGGTAACCACATGTATAGCCACATGGATAGTCACGGATAGTGATCGATAGCCACATGGATCGCCATGGATAGCTGGATAGCCACATGGATAGTCATGGATAGCCACATAGATAGCCATGGTTAGCCATGGATAGCTGGATAGCCACATGGATAGTCATGGATAGCCATGGATAGCCAGGATTGCCATGGATAGTCACGGATAGGTGCAGATAACTGCCGATAGCCATCTATAGCCACGGATAGCCAATTTGCTGATGTCGCATGCTGACATGGGGTTGCTTCACTGTTAGGGAGCTTAGGGTACATTCCATAAGGTTCACAGTTTCCACACATGCAGGAAATCTCTCTCTCTCTCTCTCTCTCTCTCTCTCTCTCTCTCTCTCTCTCTCTCTCTCTCTCTCTCTCTCTCTCTCTCTCTCTC